CTTCCAAGAAGAACACACGGGTGCGAAGACTGCCAAGCCTCCCTTGCGAACCCGCATAATAGTTTTTACCGCATTGTGGAAGCCTGCCGGAATGACGATGTCTTCTGATTTTTCCCACGAAGATGTGTCAGTTTTCCCACGTTGACGAAATTTGTCATCAAAGGCCACACTTGCGAGACCCGCCTGCTTGGCTGCCTTTGCGATGCTGCCTACACCTGCAAAGATTTCCGCAACATCGATGTCACGCGGCAAATCTGCAAAAGACTCATCTTCCAGGATAGAGGTAGCGGTCATTCCAAAAACTTCTGGCTCCATGGCGCATAATCTGGGACTCAGAATCAGGGACTCTGAGTCTGAACAAGCCGAAAGGCTGTTTATCGGTGAATAGCAACACTTGCTTTTAGTCCCAAGCGAGACACGCTCGAATCAGGAACTCAGAATCGGTGACTCTGTGACTCTGAGACTTCCGGACTCAGAAACAGTGAGACAGAAACTAGATAGAAGTCCGGACTTCCAAATCACAAAGTCACTTCGAACACGCACCGTCATCTGCCGAAGCGGACCATCGTTCGCCAGGAGATATCGGGCAAGGTTGAATAGTACGGGTTGTCCTAAGGACCACTGAATCTGAACTTGTGTGGCTCAACAAAAGTCCTGATGTGAAAGAACGAACACCTGTCAACTGTGGCAACTCAGGCTCAGGCTGCTTCAACGATTGGGTCATCCCGTGGAGCCTCCAACGCCTCCAAGTACCCGTCCTGTGATGGTTCTCGGTTCCTTCCGTCAGCGAGATCTCGGAGTTCTTGGGCCGACCGGAACATGGAGTGTTCAGCTCTCCATGTGCGTGTGATTTCCTCCAGTGCGTCTGCCAGCTGCCTCAGTGCTTTTGCCCTCTGCTGTGTCATTGGGTTGCTGGCCTGACAAGCTTCTGTTGGGGCTGCGGTGCTGATTCTGTTGAAGCGTGCGTCCGGGATAAGCAAGGTAGGAGGCCCGTTTGGAGTGTGGCTTTGCATCCAAGTCTTCACAACACAAAAGACATCGAGAGGATTAGAAGGCCAACCTCTGTCAGTGGGATGCTGCAGCAATAACTGCTGCCAAATCCATGCGGAGCTTGAAGGTGAAGGAATGGGGTGCCAGGATGCCTTCACGTCGCTTATAGCAGTTGTACGGATGGACACACATTGCCCCCAGCCATGACTGGAAATTTCTGACATGTGTGAGGATCTCCACATTCACATCATAGCCCTTGGGTGCCAGGACGGGTGTCATGCCTGTGAGGATGCCCGTCCTGAGGTCTTCTGGCACCATGACCTTGCATCGTCTGAGAACCTTGGCCAAAAGGATGCTGAACACAAAATCCACGTCTTCGTGCGTGTGGCCTACACGCAAAAAGTTCAGGACACAGGACTGAAACTTGAACTTCCGCACAAGCACCCCGAGGAAGTTCGCGACCTCTGCATTCTTGGCCTGTGCCGTAGTGTTATCACTTTGGATAACGAGATGATCAGGCATGGATCTTCCTTGCTGCCTGCAAGCTTCCTGTACACGGGCCAAAGTCCTCGTGAGAATCTCGCAAAAGAAAGAGGCACCGTGAAAGAAGTTCTCGTCATCAGCGAGATAGAAATCAGCACAAAATCCATGGGCCAATACCAAGTGAATGGTCAAACGGGGTCTGTGGAACTTCTCCAGGTTCTTCGGCTTCCGGAACGGAAGTTGTGGCCAGCTACCCTTACTCTTGTCCATGCCATCCAGGATTATGCAGAGGATGTTCGATCCAGGCACCTTGCTGCACCACCTCAAGTGCCAGTATATGACACGGTCGACATATTGTGCTTTGAGGTGATCCTGCCAAGCCTTCGCCGCCGCTTTCTTTTCTGCAAGAGAAGCATCACCGAAGTGAAGTAGGTTGGAAAACTTGCTGCAATCGTTGCACTGAGCATGTTGTGTCGGCTTGCGCAAGCCAGTGCAGTGGCACCATCCTGAGCGACACGAAACATATAGTCCCTCTGCAAATGACAATAACCTTTTTCACCAAGGCACTCTTGCTCCACCGCTGCCAGAATGTGCTCCAACAGGCCGTTCTGGACACTGAGTCTGCACTCTGGGACTCTGGGACTCTGACTAGGCGCCATGCCAAGTAAAGCCACCAAATATCGATTGGCTTTTTGTGCTGCACATACCGCTTGGGCAAGTCTGCATCAGCGGCTGATGCAATGGCTGTGTGTAGCCAAGACTTCTCAGGGTCCCATCCCAACATTGGTGCCAGATCTTCATCATCCCGGCCCAGATCCGGTGCTTGGGATGCTTGCAACTCTTCCTGCTGCACAGTCCAATCAACATTCTCCATATGGCATGTGTCATCCTCTGGGAGAAACTCTGCTGCAGAATGGTACATCTCCAAGAAGAACTGATCCACCGACATACCAGCTTCAGTCACCATCCGTCCGTTGCTGACACGGCCATCGAAGCAATGGCCCTTGCAAAGCTTGCCAAGTGCGCTGGCCGATATCTCGAGTAAAGCAAACAGCCGTCTCTCACAACACCGTTTTTCAAGGAAGATCCACTTGCAGCGACTGTTGTCAGCTTTGGCATCTCCATAAGACCTGTTCAGGAATGCAGCCCGCCTTGCTGACCCCATGCCATCAAAAACTCGACGGAAAGCCAAAACATCCTCGAGCTTCAAGCCAGGCTCACACACACTGCAGTGACCCGATCGGCACCGACCAAAGGAGCATGGGCTATCAAGTAGCTCTTTGAGACGGGATTTGTTGCAGTCTGTTCTGTCGGAGGCTGAGAGGTCTTGATCACCAGCAGCCAAAAGTGCTGAAGCAACGGTGAGATGAACCTCCGGCATGGCTGCGTTATCTTCTGTTGCCTTGCAGTTGGCTGGAGTAAAGCTGCGATCCGGGCACGGTGTGGTCCAGTTTGGTCTGCCAGGCCGTTCTGTCCGAAGCTGAGAATTCTGGGATGCAGATGTCCAGGGGTTCATCTGCTCTCTGGGAGTCTGTGCTTTGGGACTGTGCTCTGCGACTCTGTAACGCGACCCTCTTCCTGGGGGGCGAAGACGACCCAGAGCCAGTGTGAGAGGGTGTCAGCCAACTTGGTCGGTGCACAGTTCCCTCAGCGCCAGATCCCGCAGGAGACATGTTCAGCCATGAGTAGTCCCTACTTGCCCGCCGACTTTCAGAGCCCCCAGGCGCTGGTTCAAGCCAGCTGGGCCTCATGACTGCTGCCCTGCTGGAGCCACAAAGGTTGTGGAATAGGATTCAACGCATGATCACATGATCACAGCAACAAATAGTCTCTGAAGCATATCATGTATGTTATATGTGCAGTGAGCTAAGAAGACGTCATTCTCTTTGTCAACACCCCCCAGACAATGTGCGACTCAAGGACTATCGGAACTCGGCACCAGAGACTTTGAAAGGGCTAACTGGACTCTGCTCCGTGCCTTGGCAAAGCAAAAGCGGCCGCATTCCTCAGAATTCGACCTCAGTGTCGCCTCATGGGTTGCTGACACTGAAAACCTGTGAAGAACTGGCTTCTTGATTGAAACCCACGGACAAATCTCAGAGACTCAGAGTCAGGGACTCTGTGACTCAGGGACTCGGTGACTCGGCCCTGCAAGACTCACGCATCTCAGGCTTTGTCCATCTTCTTGCCGAGCTTCTCCTTCCAAAGCCGTGCTGCCTCTTTGATCTGCTCTCTCACCTCGTCCTGCGTCATCTTCTTGCCCTGCTTCTGCTTCTTCACCTTGTCCATGTGGTCCTTGACGTGCTTGCAGTAGCTATCCTGGCTCCCTGTGGCACCGCTGTGGATCGACTTGCCCGGGAACTTCTTCTGCAGCTCTTCACGTGTCTCGTAGAAGAGCTTCTTCTTGAGATTGAACACCTCCGCAGCATCGTTGCCGTTAGGAATTTTGCGCCCTCCAAAGGTGAGGGGTTCCGACGTCGACTCGTCCGGCGTCAGCTTAGCCGGCTTATTGCCAGCCGACTTCTGACCTTTGCCGAGGTTGCCCTTCTTAGCATCGCTGGTATTCTCATCAGTAGCAGCCTGCTTCTCGTCCTCGGCGACAGGGTTGTCCTCGCCATCATGGCCATTGGATGCTGCAGTGGAACTGGGCTGCTGATTCGGAGGTGTCGTAGGAGGCTGCTTCTTGAGAGCAGCCTGGCTTTGCCCGGCAGCAGTCTTAGCTTTGTCCACTTGCTGGGTGGCAAACGAAGCCAGCTTTATGGAGGCTTCGGCAGCTTGAGCGGCTTTTTGGGCAGCTACTGAGGCTGCGATGGCTTGCCTGTTGAGCAACATCTGCTGCTGCTGCTGAAAATTCTTCTCCGTCGGCTTCTTGGGTGTTGTCTTGTCTGCCTTCAACTCCTCACGCCCAGGGGTTGGCTTCGTCCAGTCTTTCCACGCACTCGCATCGACTCTCTGCCTCTTTTCAGCCATGCTCTCCTGGGTCTGAAGTCCTCTCTTCGGAGATCTTGACCACACCGGCAGTGAGGGCTTGTCGTCAAGAACAGCGGGCTGCTGCTTCTGCTGACAAGAATCATACCAGTCCTCAGAGCCGACCGAGTCGTTCTGCGTCAACGCACGAGGGGCCATGATCGGTGACTCTGAGTCTGTGACTGTGTGACTCTGTGACTCTGAGTCCGGGGTCCTGAACCCTTGGCTGCGATTCTAAGAGATAGTGTCAGAAGGCAAGCAGGTGCCAGAAAACACATCAGGAATGATCAAGATGCCAGCAACATGCATGCATGTACTAGAGCAAACACATGCAGACATGACAGGCACCTGCTTGCACAGCTGAAGTACACTTTGTTCACACCAGAGCACAAACAAGCTCGCATCATCTCAAAACGTGCTTGCTCCTCCCTTTCGGAGACTCAGGGACTCAAGAACTCAGACCTCTGGGACTCAGGGGTCAGTTCGGCATGGTGCTCAGCATGATTGTCTCACAACAAGGGACCCAGAGACTCTGGTTCAGGCCTGATGCACTAGATGCACTAGAAACAAGCCCTTGACGCCTGCAAATCAGGCTCACGGACCAGCTTCTTGGCCTCAATCTTGATAGGCCCTGTGAAATAAATCCCAGGTTTCTCTGGGTTGAAAGTGAGGCCTTGGTCGTTGTCCATCAAAACCCAGCGCTGCTTCAAAGAAACCAAGCCTTCGACATGGCTGCCATCCTTCAGGTTCCAGGCTGCCTTGGTGTCGGGTGAGGTGAGGGCAATGCTGCCCACGTCGTCCCAATCAGGCTGGGCTTTCTTGTTCGTCATCTTGCGCGGGGTCGGCTGAGGGATGAAGACACAAGGATCGCACTTCTTCACATCGAAAACACGATCCTGAGCATTGCCAGCTGAGCCCTGTGCTGCTTTTCACGGTGTTTGTTTGGGTCGAGCAAAGTTGAGGGAAAAAAGAATAGAGAAGGAACTATGCACAGTCCTTCTCAACCTTGGGCTTCAATTTGTGACAGGCAAACTCGATGCTGGTGACATCCATTTTCTTCTCTTCCATCCACTGCAAGTGTGTGCGAAGTGTCTTCAACGGCGAGATTTCCGGCTTGTTGTCTGAAAGCTTGCGAGCTCCACACATGTCCACGTCGCTGCCGAAGCCAACGTCCATCATCTCCACCTTGTCCTCCTTGAGAGCCGCCTCCGCTTCCTGTTGCAGCAGGGGGCTTGTCTAGACATGTGTGTGCAAAGCACAAAACTGCAGGCATGATGTGTGCATCGGACGCTGCAAATGGTGTGTGCCTCATTGATCTTGAACTTGCCAAAAGTCAGGGCCAGAGGACTGGTGTCGTCCAGCTCCACCTCGCACGTGGTCTGGATCCAAATTGAACCCTTGGACGTGAAGAAAACCTTGTAGGTCTTCTGGTCAATCTCCACCACCGGCCCTTCCTTCTCCTTCATCTGCTCCACGGTTAGGGACTCTGGGTTCAGGGACTCTGAACTCAGGAGTCTCGCCTTCTTTTGCGGTGGCCCGCCGGCCGCCTCGTCAGCGGAACGCTTCTCACCCTGGCGCGGCTTTCCGCTCTTGTTGTAGCATTCGTTGTGATCCTTGACGAAGCGGTCCCACTGGTCTCGGAGATCAGGGTTGTTAAGCTTCTTGTCCATCTCCTCCAGGTAGGTGGCCTTGAAAGGGATGGTGTCCGCTGCTCCTGGGAAGGTGGCCACGAAATCCTTCTCCTGAACGGCGGGTACTTCCCGCATGTCCTTGAAAGACACGAGTGGCTTCCAGTCCGGAATTGAGATGACCTTCTCCTGCGCAAGGTGCTGCAACTTTCGGCGGATGGACGACTGTAGCCAGCGTGAGATCTTTGCGTTCTCTTTTCTCGAGTCAATCGCAGCCCCCTTCTCTGTGTGTTTGTCGTCTCGACTGTTCGTGTCAGCCCACACGACACCAACATAGATTGCTTGCGGGGCGGGAACAGCTGGACTTGCAGCACGTCTCATCAATGCTTCGGCCACAGAGTGGTCGTAGGCGAACACATCCACCCAAGAAACACCTGATGGCTGTTGAAGTGTGAGACCCTGCCACAGAGCATCGTGGAACGCTGCCGGAATGTTGAATCCTCCAATCCACTGCTTGCGTCGAGACGGCTTGCTGGCACCGTCTGTAACAACACCAGCTTGGCTGAAACCTCCGCGTGGGTCAACCATGTCTTTCTGGGCCAACATGGGAATCGGCGTCACGGAGTTCTTCACAGTCACCGGAAGCATCTGCCGTTTCCAAAGCGCCGACTTTGAAAACTCCGAGATCAAGCGGCCCTCCTTGTCGCACTGGTCAGAGAGGGCAATAAAGAACTTGTGGAAGCCCGGCCTTTTGGATTGCGGCGGGATGCTGTTCTGGTCGAAGCACATCAGGACCTCGCGAACGAGAAGTCGGTTCTCCGGCTGGGACACACACTCGGAGATCTTCTGTGTGGCCTCCCCGACATTGGCCTCGATGTATTCCTTGTTTGCAAGGAGAGCAGGTAAGACAACAAGTGTGGAGAGATCACGTCAGCAAGCTACCATGCAGCTGAAGGTCGTTACCCCAGTTACCACAAGTCGGCGCCGCGATGATCATCACAGTCTTGGCCGGATCTTCCGCGACAAGCGGAGCGTAGGTTGCGATAGCAGCTTGCGTACCGCTGTAGGAGTCGTAGCCAAGCACACTTGGGTTCATCCAGAAGACCTTGAACATGTTGCAATCAGGAATGCTCTGCTCATCCTGGAACTTGCGAACACAGGTTTCAGCAAACGTGATGGCGTGGGAGGCCTCGTGCAAGTCCCGAACCGGATACCGGTTTTCCTGCCACTTCTCCACGGCCTGCTTCTGCAAAGCCTTTTGCTCGTCCTGGGCTTCTGCTGCGAGACCTTTCGCACTCCGAGCGAAGTCGGATTTCTTCTCCTGGTAGCTGGACCACCCGGCCACCTCCTTGGTGACTTTGGCAATCGCTTTTGCAAGCTCTGCCTTCTGCACATCGAGGTCAGCTTCGGACTCTGAGATCTGGGAATCGGGGACTTTGCAAGCGACCTGAGAGGAATCGTGCAGCACGGGAGCTGGCGTTTTAGGGCATGGGATGAGTGGGTGCAGAGGTCACTGGAAAACACGGTTGTGTTTTCCTGCAAATTCCCTGCCTTCGCACCGACATCTGCCAGAAATCTGAAGTTCTCCACCTTCAACTGTGGGTTCATGACACGGAACTTTTCGAAGAGCTCGATGTCCAGGTAGCCTCGTGCAAATTTGGTTTCGAGCTGCTGCAGCTGCATAGAGGTCAGCACCCTCTCAAACTCTGAGTGGAAGTGTGCGAAGAGAGCCGACATACCCCAAGCCGCGTCTGCTTCTTTTGGGTCTCGATAATTTGCTGCTCCTGTGGCCAAGTTGATCTTCTTCTTCAACCGCTTGGCATCTTGCAGCTTGAAGAGAAAGTACTGCACCTTCCGCCTCACGAACCAGTGCCTCTTGCGATTGTCTGCCTTGAGGACTTGCACCCAAACAGCACAGCCGGCAGTATGATAGATTTATGAAGCGAGAGCACAACCTGCCTTGGAAAAACACAGTGGTCGCCAAGGCCTTGTAAGGAATGGCAGACTGTTTGGGTGCATACAGCTGCCAGTGGTAGTCGATGAGCTGCTGGGTGTCCAAGTCGAGGCTGGGATAGATGACGACTATGCTGGTCTCCAGCTCTGAAAGCTTCTTGGCCTCGTTGCTCGAGCCACCATTGAACTCGTCGATCATGAGACTTGCACATTCAGTCCATGCAAGACCTTCCTCTTTCGCTTGTGCCATGAGCAATGTCGAAACCTGAATGGGATCTGGCCTTGGTCGAGCTGCTTCTGCGAACTTGTCCTGCAGGGACCGGAACCTGTCAAACTAGCTGCTGCCTGTCGTGTGGCATGTGTAGCGAAAGTTGTACAAGGCCTGCAGCTGTGGCAGAATGTGCTTCACATCCTCGTCTGATAGGTCCTTCATCTTGTGGACTGCAAAGAGGATCGCCTTGATCGCTAAGCTCTTTGTGAAGCCGATCGAATGGCCGAGGGCGAAGTCCGGCAGAGGTTCTCCGGCAGCAGGCAGCCCTGGAGGAAGCCAGAGTTGAATCGGATTTGTCAAGCTATCATAGGGCTTTTCTAGAAAGTCAGCGGCACACCGGATGACATTCAGCATTTTGCTCTTGCCCTTCTGAGAATGTTCTGGCCGAAAACTTAAATGCCATGGCATGAGCACGAGCTGCTGCGTCACATCCTGTTCGACCAGTGGTACTCGATGATCGGCACCTGGCACTCTGAAGACCCACCCGGCATCCATGCCATGCAGCCTTTTCTGCACAGCCAGGAACATGTTCTTCAAGCTTTGCGTGTCTGTGCCGAAGTTTGCGATCAGGAAATCACCTCAAAACAAATTCAAAGTGTTTGCGGTGTTATCGTTTATCAACCAAGTGAAGTGACCGCATGAAAGTTACTGAGCCGAGTGCAGATCTCCACTGCATCAGTTTGTTCAGGATCGCCAGAGCCTCCGAAAAAAATCGCTCAGACTCAGAGTCAGGGACTCAGAGTCAAGGACTCAGGGACTCCGGCACTCAGTCTTTGATGGCGACCCCGATCCGAAATGATGCGAGGAGTTGCACAGTCACATCAATCTAAATTTCAAAGCTTCACGAGACTTGATCTAACAAGTGGAGGCTTCGCTTCGGTGCAGATGAATCATCCTGCTTCACGCACTCTGTCAGCTGACTGAGTCTGAGATCCAGACTGAAGAGCTGCAGCTGTTTGCAGTTTCTACGAAACTCGTGCTTAGCACGAAGCTTAGGAGAAAACGACAACTGCTATCACTCCGGATTCTGGATTCGTAGGAGTGAAACCCCAAACTCTGGTCTATAGACAGACACCATTGTTTGCTCGGACTAATAGTAAAGTTACACATTTTCCGGAACTCACGAAAGAGTAAGTATAGTCACAGCTGTCTGTCTGGTTAGATAGTCTACAGTATGCAGCAGCCTACTAACTATAAGTAGTCTATTATACTAATTAGTTATTAGTAAGACCTGGCAGCCTCTAAAAGCTGTGAGGTAGCCTCAGCCTGTTTGTCTGCTAGACAGTACACAGTAAATGGCAGCCTGCTAGGTAGTCTTTTAGTGATTAGTAAGGGGCCGACAGCCTCTAAAAGCTGCTAATTCAAATCCATTGAAATTAAGCAGGCCCCGAAAATCCCAAAGCTCATGAGTGCAGTCTTTTCACCTCATAGTGCCTTTTCTCGGGCCTCCGGCGGGAGGGCCGGAGAAAAGGCACTATTAGGGGGTAATAGCGCCTTTTCTCCAAAGCTGTTTATATAAGAGTGCCTTTTCTCACATACATACATACATACATACATCCAGATCTTGCACTACTGTCCCATAGTCAACGCAAATATGGCTGGATTTCTGATAGCATCCCTGTTTTGATTACCGGACAATTCGATAAGTAGGTATCCATATGGGAACATTTGGGTTTTTATGTATGTGAACGAAAGAGAAAGAAAACCACAAAGATAATTACTGAGACAGAGAATACAAGAATTGGCTAGTGCGAACCTAGCTTCAGGGTTGGGTTTCTCAGGGTTTCAGGCTCTGGGTGGCTGGTGAATTTGCTGAGGCCTGTCAAACTTTATTGCAGCCTACGATTTCCCAAAGCTGAAGCATCATATGCTAAAGAAGCTCGCATTGACTGAAATCTATTTGCCAACTCCCAGCAGCAATCGTCATGCCTCCGCCAACTTGTCGTAGGAGCTGCAGACTGAAAGGGGCAGCGCCTGGCAAAGTGATGAAATTACATAAGGTTCAACGTTCAATGGGGGTGGGAGTGTGAAGGCAATGCAGAGGCAGCATCTCTTGTTTCTTGCGCAACAAGCGATCTGTCACTGCACTCGGTGTCAACGCAGAGTCTCCAGAACATCCAAGCATACAGCCCTGAGCACAGAAACCTCTCCGGTTTATGCAATGTTCGGATTCAATCTCAGGGACTCAGGACTCTGGGACTCGGAAATTCTGGGACTCGAAGAATCTCAGTGTCTCTTGGAGACTCTGAGACTCTGAGTCTGGAAATCTGGGAATCAGCTACCACCAGACTTTTCACTGCTTGTTGATAAATGTTCTTGATCTATACCCAAAGCATCCCGCAGCTTGTGTGCAAGTGTCAACATTTCCCCCTGCTTCTCCACCAATCTTTTGGAGTACTTGGTCACCTTGCCTGCGACAAGCTCCAGGTGGGATGCTGCTTTCTTGGCTTCTTGGCCTGCCTGCTCCATACGAACAACTGATCGCAAGAGCATGTTCAATCTGTCCTATGCACCGCTCCTCCTTTCCTCTGTCATCCTCCTGCTCCTGCTCCTGGTCCGGCTCCTCCTGCTCCTGGCCCTCCGGCTCCTGCTCCTCCTGCTCCTCCTGGCACTGCTTCTTCGCCTGGACGCGCTCCTGGTCTTCTCATCGCTGCCACTTCTGCTGACACTTTGTCGCCCTTCTTCCGTTGCCTGTGCTGGTGGTGGTTCCTTGGCATCGTCGGCAGCACTGCCCAGCGGCCCAGGGTCATCGTCCTCAGAATAAATTGAAATTGACCTGAAAATCGGCTGTGACCAATCTGGAGAATTGAAACTTCGCTGTGCCCAATCTGGCCGGGCATCTTGGACGGCATTCTTCTTGTCCGGTGTGCTTTGGAGCTTCTCGGATGCACCAGACCTGCCGAATCAGTTCATATTGGGGGGGGGGGGGAGTTCAGGGTGGAATTGAGAACGACGGGCCTCCGCAGTGGTGGTCTCTCCGCCGCTGCTTCTTCTTCCGCAGTGTCTTTCTTGGTTTCTTCCAGTTCGCCCGGTGGGCCCGGTGGGCCCATGGTTGTGCCATCCGGAGCTGCTCCATGTGAATCTGCTGGTCCTGGTGCTACTTCCTCCCCTTCCTTCTTCCTCAAGGTCTGGGACTCGCGGTAATCAGGGGACTCACGGGACTCCGGGTTCTCCACTGGACTGACGAGGTCGATGGAATCTGTGTCATTTGTGGGACCTGTTGGCACTGGTTTTGCCAAGTGCTGCGACTGCTCCGGAACATTGCCATGTTGAGCATCTTCTTCTTTCACTTGTCGCTGTAGTGAAGGGGGCGAAGTTGGATAGAGATAAACAGGAGTTGGCACCTGAAATGGGCTTTCGAAAACAGAAGAACAGAACCATTATTAGGATCCAGAGACAGAGAAAAACGATAGCAAACAAATGTCATGTGCAGTTGAAGTACATCTTCCGGTGCCGGGGCCTCTGGAGTCTCCGGCTCTGTCTTCGTGATGATTCTGGCCGGAACTACCTCAATCTTGTGATTTAAATCATTCGAAAACCTTGTATGATACATAGAAGAAGAAAAGATTTAGGGTTTAAAGGGGTTTAGGATTTAGGGTTCACAGTCTCCTAGCTTCTATAGGTGTAGCGTTTACAGAGTCTAGCCGAGATGCTGCCGGCCTTTGTTTCGGAGGAGGCTTTAGCTTTGGCGTTGCCTGTGCCAGTGCAGCCTTGCCAGGTGGAGGTCCAATTGCTCCTGGCGGCTTTGGGTGGCCTTCGGCAGCCTTCTCCATTGCCTCCCTGTCCGCTGCTCGGAAGCTGCCCACAGGTAGTGCCATTGGAATCTAAAGGCTGGACTCGGAGACTCAGGGACTCAGGGAATCTGAGTGTGAGGCAGCCATTCGCATTGATCCCAAAGTCTCAAACATGTCTGCATGTGTGCTCTCACGACTGGCTCAAGACTACAGTTACACAGAGTCGCAGACTGCAGAACCATGGCCGAGAAAACAACTGCAGCTGATGTGGTGCAACTCAAGAACAGCAGTGATGCCTGCGAGGTCTCGCTGCTGCTCTTGAGTTGCATTACATTAGGATTACGAGAACTGGACTACCCGCTGTGCTGCAGCTCAGAAACGAATCCGAGTACCTGAATGACCGAGTCCCTGAATCCCAGAGGCCTAGAGCCCTGACTGGAATTTCCCCTTTGAGCTGCTCTAGGATTAAGAGGACAAGTACACCTGCTCTGGTGAAGAACGAGAGCATCTGAGACATGGTATTACCATGTCTCAAATCCTCTCGTTCGCCCAATGGAGCACTGATCCTAGTGCGAATCAAGAGCGACAGCGAGGTCTAGCCTTGCCTGGCTGTCGCTCTTGATTTGCATTAGCTATCACCCGGCCTCAGCTGCAGCTGGCAAGGTGGCGCTGCAGCACGTCACAGCGAGGGCGACCTGTGTCAGGCATGTCATGTGCGATCGTCAATCGAGGCCTGCTGTATGTGTCATAGGGTAGGCCTCGGTTGGCGATCGCATGGAGCTGACTTTGGGGTTTAGGGTTTATAGGATTGGGGAAGACTGGAATGCAGAGTTTGTTTCTGTCTGCTCCGTGTTGCGGTCTCTGTCTGCTGCTGAGCAGTAATTGCAAGGGCGACCATTGTGGTTGGAGTTTTGGGAGTGCAGGCTTGGGGCTCTTTCAGCAGCCTGAAAGAGCCCGAAGCCTGCACTCCCCTTACACAACATCTCAAGAAGAGCAACAAGCGTGACGAGCTCTGTGTTGTGGTCTCTGTCTGCTGCTGAGCGGTAATTGCAAGGGTGAGAATTGTGGTTGGAGTTTCGGGAGTGGAGGTGTGGAGCTTTAGAGCCCCAGGCCGCCACTCCTAAAAGGCGACCATTCTGTGTTGGAGTTTGGGGAGCGACGGAGTGGTGATCTTTCGCCGCCGAAAGATCACCACGCCGTCGCTCCCCTAAGCCCTAATCCCGAAGCTGAGCGGATAGTATAACCGCAATGTTCAAGGGTTACGACGTTCGTAGCCATTGACCATTGCGGTTAACTCTGAAATCCAATGGATGGTAGATTTTGCTTTTGCGGCTCTACTGTCTGTCAAATGGATATTACCTGGTCGTGGGCTTGTTGGTGCTTCAAGCTGGCTGCTACGGACTCTGTTGGAGCTCCTTCTGTACCGGGGAGATTGCGTCGAAGAGGTTGCAATGACATGGGCGATTGGCACACAACAGCTTACCGGACACAGTCGGCCTCCCATCCAAGTTGAGATTGCGCGCATCCCACGTCACCCCCCAGCTTCCCGGGGGGGGGTTCAAGCAGTCGCTGCCCCAGCTGATGCTTTAGCGTATCGCTCAGCTGTCATACACCTGGTGCTGGTGCGTTGGCCTCAAAGCAGCGACTTGCTTGACCACAATGCCAACAAAGCCTCACACCCGGCCAATGGTGTGCAGGGAACCCTACGAAGCACCGGTTCCCCATTGGTAAGGCTGGCAAATGCCGGCTGAGTCGCAGAGTCCCAGAGGATCAAGAGTCGCAGATGAGCAGAAAAATGCCAGAGCTGTGCAAATAGCATCCGCCTTCCCCTAACCCTAAAGCACCTACTATTCTGTTCAACACATCAGTACTTTCCTAAAACAATGACAATCTTTAAACCTGCAACCCCGAGGAACACTTCAATGTGTACGACCATGGCCATTTATTTATGCTAAACGGAAACACCACTAAACCCGCCGAGGCCTCTTCGGATGCATCTGCTGCTCTTGGCTGCTCCTGGCAAGCACTTCAACGATTGAGGGGTTTTGTGTTTCAGGTCCAGTCACCTGGCCCCGTTTAAGAGTGTTGGGGCGATGTGGGTCTAATTCCGGTGAAGTTAATTGGTCTATTTTTGCTGTATTTACTTAAAACAGGTCTTCTGTTCCATTAGGCTTGACGACCTTGTTTTGTTTCCAAGATCCCGGCTGTCCTGAGTGCGAAGCCCACCTAAGTCTTTTACTAAGCAAATCTATCACACTCAGGTCACCGTGGATCTTGGAAAACATATGGAACTTAACTATGAAAGCCTAGCTTGCTAGAGTTTTGCCTTGGGGTTTAGAGTCTATGGGTTTCGCGCTTTTACGTAAGTCAGCACATGTTTCCATTCAAGGTTTTGAGTTAATTAAGGCCCACTGCACACACCCTCTATCCCAAAGTTCTTACTATTCGACCCTAAACGACCCTAAACCTTAAACCCTGAGCCCTACGATCAAAGCTTACCACATCCATATAGGATTTCAGGTTTTCGGGTTTAGGGCCCAAAACAACCCTAAACGACCCTAAACCCTGAGCCCTATGATCAAGCTTACCACATCCATATAGGATTTCAGGTTTTCGGGTTTAGGGCCCAAAACAAACCCTAAACCCTTAAAACCCAATCCACCGAGCAGCAACTTGCCGGTGTACAAGATGCGAAACTGACCTTGGCAGTGGATTCGTGGGGAGGAGTGATGCAAGCTTCAATTCAATGCGAAATGGGCGGAGCAGAATTTCAGTCGGCTTTTTTCAATGGCACGTTGTACGTGCACGTCCTGTGTAAAAGATGGCCGTAACCACTGTGCATGCCAACGTGCACCTCGGACTGTCGTGATTAGTTCGCCATAAAGCTTCAAACACAATCCCAAGCGAGGTGCAAGGAAATGGCAAGGTTCAGGTTGCAATTATCCGACAGCACCAGGACCAGAGCCCTCACGAAGCGAATCATCGAATCCCGAAGCTTTCGGCTTTATGGTAGGTTAGTTGAGACTGAAATGATCAGGACTCAGAGACTCAGAGACTCAGAAACTCGGGGACTCTGGTACTCTGGGACTCTGGTCCTGTGCTTCTCCAGAAAGTCCTGGCAGAGACTCCTGGGGCTTTGGGGCTCTGGTCCATTGGGCTGAAATGAAAAGGGCTCAGAGATTCAGAGACTCAGAGACTCAGGGACTCTGGGACTCTGTCTCTGTCTGAGCCGGAAGGCGCCGTGAGCTACTTCTCAGTCGTCGTAGTAGTACTCACGGATGAAGTCGCCGACGAAACTCGACACCGTGTCATGCTGCCAGAAGCCTGTGCAGCTGTTTGCCACCACGTACTCCCCTTTTTCGTGGTCAAAGAACTGCACATTGGAGTCCGGGCTGTGCTGGTGGAACTCGTACGTTTGGCCATCGTCCACGTAGTAGAACGTGATCTTGCCGTTGTAGGCTTCCTGCCAAACCCATCCGTGCGGACAGGTTTTGAACGGCCTGTCGCCCTGGACAACAAATCCAGGCCTGCTCCGACGAGGCTCGAAATTCTGCCCTGCCGGTGCCTTCGTCACCAGTGACTTCTTGATCTCTTTGGGCACCAGATCCATTGCGAAGAGCTGCAGCACGTTCGGCGGTCGCCGCCCTCCCCGGCAGTACATGTTGTCCGGGTAGTCGCGCAGCTCCAGGAACAAGGCCTTCTTGACACCGGCCTCCTCGCAGTAGATGCCGGAGTGGTACTTGAACTTCGAAATGCCCTGCAGGCTAGGCGCCTCCATTGGAAACACACCCAGTACCTGGAACTCCTTGATTCCAGGGACATCGGCCTTGCGGATCCAATCGACGGTCATCTCGCTGCGGGGCTTCTTGGTCCTGAGTCATTTTGCATACAACCAGACTGATTTTAATTTTTATAGAGATTTTTCCCACTTTTCGAAGCCAAGGTTCATGGCATAGACGAACTGACCCTTGCCCTGCATGTAGAAAGTCGTGGAGGGCGAGCAGTCAAAGAAGAAGGACTCTTCGGAGTTCGGGGGGGCATCGACAAGATGCTCGTAGGGCCCACGCTCCATGTAACCCGAGTGGTCAATCTTCAGCGAGCAGTACGTCGGAAGCACATCCTCCATGATACGGCCGCCCTCGGGAAAATGCTGGGCCAGCAGTGACTTGTTCAAAGCCGCGGGACTGCGATCCGGGATCCTCATCTGTGAAAGGAGGACCAATCCTCGCACTTTCCAGAGGCCAGCCTGCATGAACATGCCTTTCACTCCTGCCATGATGTCGAAGGCGTGCAGGAAGAACGGGTACCTGGGTCAGAACAGGACATGTGTAACAACAACCGCCTAGAACTTACAGGTTTGCTTTCATCAGCTTGATATCTCAGGCATGTTGCGTGTTGTACGAGCCACCGGGAACCTTGGCCATCAGGAAAGGCGGGTTGTTCTCGCCGTAGATGTGGTAGTACAACTCGTGCCCCTTCATCCTGGCCAAGCCGAGCAGCGGCCCGTGGGGAACAACACCTTTGTACAGGTGGCGGCGCCACACCTCGAGCACCGAGAGATCGTACTGGGACTCGGGACTCAGACTGAGCATCGACCCATCGTTGTGCATCGCCACATACTGGTCCCGAAGGTCGATCAGCTTGGTCATCAAACCAGTCTCCAGTGTACAAGTCGGCCACAGTGTCGCTGGGTCGTAGTTCGAGATGGCCGCAGAGTAAAAGATTTTCACGTACCCGAGGTCCTTCACAGGGTCGCCCTGCGGGTCCCAGCCAGGAAGGGTGCCGCCGCTCTGCAGGATGTGCTCCACTTGGCTTGTCGGCATGGATGTGATGTCCTGCTCCGTCTCACCAACCTGGTCGAGCCGTGGCTGGGTTGCCGCTGTTGGTGCAGATCGTGGCGCCGTCATTGCAGAAGCCCTTCTCGACTGTATCTGCAGCAAGCCCTCATAGGGCCGAGGTTCTCAGGCTCTGGGACTCTGGAGTCGTCGAGGACTCTGGAGTCGGGGACTCTGGAGTCGGGGACTCTGGGCTCAGAGGGTGGGACTTCAGACACCCGCACAAACTCAGAGTCTACCTCGGAACCATCCTCCACGATCGGCCCATCGTCCTCCACTTTGGCTTCCGTCGCCCCCGGCTCTGCCACTGGCGAGTCTGGCCCAGGCTTTGTCACTGGCGAGTCTGCGCTGCTCGTCGCCGGCCCCACCGGTGGGTCCGCCACCGCCACCGGCAGCCAAGGTGAAGGTGTCATCTGGACCAAGAGATGGATCCTATCTTCGGCGGCAAGAAAAATTCAGAAGAGAGGAGCAGCTCGTGGAAGAGCTTGCAACCGAAAAGAAGCTGCACGAGCAGAGACTGCAGGAAGCAAAGGAGCATCATGAGGAGAAGTTGGAGGAAGCCAAGAAACAATACGATCTGGCGGTGAAGAACCTGCAGCTTCAGGCAAAAGTGGATGCATCTGAAGCGGAGAAACGCTATGACCAAAGGCTGGCAACCGCAGTCAGTAACTTGAGAGAGCAGATCAGTGTGGACAAGAAAGCAAAGGAGACGGAGCAGAAGAAATGTGCGGACCTCGAGGCCTGCAACAAGAGGTATGTGGATGCAAACGGAAAGTTCGCAACGGAGCAGCACAACTGGATCCAACGTGCTCAAAATGCAGAAGCTGGAGAAAAGGAAGCCAAACTCCAGGCGACTGTGGCCAAAAAGCAACTGGAGGCGCTGCAAGTCTATCTAGAAGCCCATTAAGCATATTCCGCTGATTGTCTCATAATGGATGGCAGGTTGAACAAAAGAAGTACCAGGAGCTGAAGACACAACACGATGCATTGGAGGCCGACTGTCACCGGGAACTATACCTAACACTGAAAGGTGCAGGCAGACTAGAGGGCGAGCCCCTGAAAGAAGTCTTTCAGTGGCTTGCTCTCTAGTCTCCCTTCACCTCTCGAGTGTGCACATGCCAGGTACTTCTGCAGCAGCGAGCTGCGCAACTCAACCCGCCGTCCGAGGCCAGGGCTTCTCGGGGTCGTCAACTGCTGTCTTGGATGATGTGGATGATGGGGCCTGAACAGGAATCTGCTGCGCCAAAGAGAAAGAAAAAGGGCTGAGTCTCAGATTCCCTGAGTCTCAGATTCCCTGAATCTCAGGATTTTAGTGAAGAGTTTCACGTTTTTGAGATGCCAGTTCACTCGACAGGGAAAACTGATCTTGAAATTGCCAGCATGCACTCTGCCTGCACTCCATGCGAACTGACTTTAAACCAAATCCTGAATCGCCAATGCACTGAGGCCGGCACCATCTGCACTGGAAGGGCGCCGGCACGTTTGGAGGGGGGGGGGTTGAGACTTCAGGTGGGGCCGGTTCGATTGGGGTTGCTCCGTGGCTGTGTGGGCTTGTGATATTGTTCAGTGTTGCTGCCTTGAATTTAGTGTTGTCGCTGTTGTTGTCGTGGTCGTTATTGTTGTTGTTGATGCTGTCGTCGTCACTGTTACTGATGTTGTTTGTTGCTGTGGTCTTGTGGTTGTTGCTGTTAGCTGCGGTTTTGCTGCTGTGGTTGTTGTTGCTGCTGTTCTCGTCGTTGTCGGTGTCGTTGGTGTTGTGTTGTTGCTGCTGCTGTTGATGGTTGTTGTTGTTGTTGGTACAGACAAAAACAGCAGCCCGTACTTGTTTTTAATTAGAAGCAATTGGGGATGCTTCCGGCGACCGCATAGGGTGCCTGTAGAGTTTTGGGAAGTTCAAGCCATGCCTGCCCCATGATAGAAATGCGGTGTAGGCTGGGTGGTTGTTGTAAAAGGGGGGGGTCAAAACAACAGACGGGGCTCCAGTTTTTGCCTCTACTACAGGGGGTAGAGACAAAGGCACCAGCGAAATCAGGACTTTGTCTCTACCCCCTGTAGTAGAGGCAAAAACTGGAGCCCCGTCTGTTGTTTTGACCACCCCCCCCTTTACAACAACCGCCCACATTACACCACATTTCCACCACAGGTATAGGAATCTGCGATATCCAGAAGGGGTTCTGATGGGTGTTGGAAGGGCTTGTCTGGAATTTTGAGGGGTTTGCATTGGATACCCGTACACTCAAAACTATAGTTACCAGTTACTATACAGTAGTTTGTTCTGGCCTCGCAAATGCATATTCTGCCCTGCGGGGAATTGAAATACACACCAAATCCATTGAATATACACACCAAAATCATTGAAATACACACCAAATGCACTGAAATACACACCAAATCCACTGAAATACACACCAAATCCACTGAAATACACACCAAATACACACCAAATCCACCGAAATACGCATTAAATCCACTGAAATACACACCAAATCCATTGAAATACACACCAAATCCATTGAAATACGCACGAAATCCATTGAAATACACACGAAATCCATTGAAATACACACAATCCATTGAAATACACACCAAATCCACTGAACTCCGCACCAAATCCATTGAAATACACGCGCTCCACAGAAATACACGCGAAATCCACTGAAATACACACGAAATCCACTGAAATACACACGAAATCTACTGAAATACACACCAAACCCACTGAAATACAGACGAAATCCATTGAAACTACACACCAAACAGTATACATCACAGGCATCCACAGGCACTGTGTTGTTGTTGTTGTTGGGGGGGGGGGGGGTGGCCGGCTTAAACAGGATATAGTCGCCAGCTGAAACTGTGGGTTTTCATTGCATACTATAGACGTAGGTATATCGCGATTGTACTGGACCGACGTCTCTCTATACATACTCAATACAAGTATAGAATCTTTCGTCTCGCCTCATCGACATTGGTGGGGCTCCTTGGAATGTAGACAGACGGATCAAGAAAGGGTGGAGATTCCCCCCAACCCTCAACGAAAACACGGAGAAAGTCCCTCCAAATCATTCAGCTGATTCCTAGCAGCGAGCTCCTCTACCTCCCTGTAAGTCTCCATCTCCTCTGACGATAAATGAAGGGAGCTCGCTGCTTCGTCATCCGCAAGTCCGCAAGAAATGAGCTTCTTATCCCCAAAAGGGTAAGGAAGAGGTCCCTTGGCACATCCTCTACCGCAGCATCTCAAAGGAGCAGAGAACCCTTCCAACTTACGGGAAAAAAAGAACTCCGGCTGCCTCTCAGTCGACAAGAAGAAAGAGGAGCTCCTTGTCGTCCCCTCTTCCTCCTCAAGGGATAGAAGAGAGATAGCTTTCAAGAAGTGAGGACTGAGCTGTCCGGGTTTCGTGTGCGATGCTGAAATGTCGTGGCTGAGCCCGCGCTAAGGCCAACGCGGCCGCCGATCGTTCTGATCGATATGCGGCTTCCAGGCCAGCGCTTCGAGCGAGAAGTCGCCGGCAGACTCTTCGGCGGCTTGGTCTCAATCTTCACAAGAAGAGTCTGATCCTCCCCCTAGCCTTCAATAAGACATGAGCAGCCCTCTACCCCATCCTCTGAACTAGCTTCCAAAAAAATCCTCTGCCTCATCCTCGACAAGAAGAGACTAAGAGCAATCTAAAGGGGCAGAAGAAAGCGCCATCTCAACAAAGCAAACAGGCCGCTCCAACTTCACGAGAAAGAAGAGGGCTCCGTTTACCCCTCGGCAAGAAGAGACCTCCTTTCTTTCTTGAAAAGGGGAGGACGCTCAAGAAGAAAGGGTGGAGCTCCCCCAATTTTCAAGTAGAGACATCTGGTCATCCCTCAGCATTTAAAAGGAAAAGACCTCATGCTCCAAAACACAAGAAGGGAGTCCCAAGGTGATTTGTGGCAACAGAAGAGAGCATCCTTCTTACCTCTTGGTATGTCGCCTTTTCGTCTTAAGAAGATTGAGGAGACCTCGCTCCTAGCAAGAAAGGATAGAGCTCCCCTAGCTTCCAAAAAAAGATTTTCTACCTCATCCTCCACAAGAAATCACTGAGAGCTTCCTCCCACCATCTCCTCTGACGATAAATGAAGGGAGCTCGCTGCTTCGTCATCCGCAAGAAATGAGCTTCTTTTCCCCAAAAGGGTAAGGAAGAGATCCCTTGGCACATCCTCTACCGCAGCATTTCAAATGAGCAGAGAACCCTTCCAACTTCACGGGAAAAAAGAACTCCGGCTGCCTCTCAGTCGACAAGAAGAGAGAGGAGCTCCTTGTCGTCCCCTCTTCCTCCTCAAGGGATAGAAGAGAGATAGCTTTCAAGAAGTGAGGACTGAGCTGTCTCAATCTTCAAAAGAAGAGTCTGATCCTCCCCTTAGCCTTCAATAAGACATGAGCAGCCCTCTACCCCATCCTCTGAATTAGCTTCCAAAAAAATCCTCTGCCTCGAGGATTCGACAAGAAGAGACTAAGAGCAATCTAAAGGGGCAGAAGAAAGCGCCATCTCAACAAAGCAAACAGGCCGCTCCAACTTCACGAGAAAGAAGAGGGCTCCGTTTACCCCTCGGCAAGAAGAGACCTCCTTTCTTTCTTGAAAAGGGGAGGACGCTCAAGAAGAAAGGGTGGAGCTCCCCCAATTTTCAAGTAGAGACATCTGGTCATCCCTCAGCATTTAAAAGGAAAAGACATCATGCTCCAAAACAAGAAGGGAGTCCCCAGGTGATTTGTGGCAACAGAAGAGAGCATCCTTCTTACCTCTTGGTATGTCGCCTTTTTGTCTTAAGAAGATTGAGGAGACCTCGCTCCTAGCAAGAAAGGACAGAGCTCCCCTAGCTTCCAAAAAGAAAGATTTTCTACCTCATCCTCCACAAGAAATCACTGAGAGCTTCCTCCCACCATCTCCTCTGACGATAAATGAAGGGAGCTCGCTGCTTCGTCATCCGCAAGAAATGAGCTTCTTTTCCCCAAAAAGGTAAGGAAGAGATCCCTTGGCACATCCTCTACCGCAGCATCTCAAATGAGCAGAGAACCCTTCCAACTTCACGGGAAAAAAAGAACTCCGGCTGCCTCTCAGTCGACAAGAAGAGAGAGGAGCTCCTTGTCGTCCCCTCTTCCTCCTCAAGGGATAGAAGAGAGATAGCTTTCAAGAAGTGAGGACTGAGCTGTCTCAATCTTCAAAAGAAGAGTCTGATCCTCCCCTTAGCCTTCAATAAGACATGAGCAGCCCTCTACCCCATCCTCTGAATTAGCTTCCAAAAAAATCCTCTGCCTCATCCTCGACAAGAAGAGACTAAGAGCAATCTAAGGCGGCAGAAGAAAGCGCCATCTCAACATAGCAAACAGGCCGCTCCAACTTCACAAAAAAGAAGAGGGCCCCGTTTACCCCTCGGCAAGAAGAGACCT